AAATTGTGTACCAATTAAAAAAAGAGAGTTGGCAACTCATCTGAATTTGGCCACCGTGGGCATTGCACACATCAGCCATCTGGAGGGGTATGGTGGGGTTTGGCCATGTGTGGTGCATAGCTAAAGAGTCAATATTTAACTTGCAGCTTGGGGCTGGGGATGTGGCTCAGTGGTGAAGTGTTTGCCTACTAAGGCCCTGGGTTCAAACTCCAACGCCTTCAAAAAAAAAAAAAAAAAGACCAAAATATTAACTTGCAGCTTAATGGGCTGGAGACTAGAATGTCACCATCAGTTTCTCCCCTGACTTTGTTCCTGTATCTCCTTTTGGTCTGCGGTTTGGCCTCTAACTATGGTAGACACTGACAGAGATGATTGACCTTGTAGATGTAAGATAATAAAGCAAATGCAAAATGTGGGAAGGTGCTGTTTTCCCAGTGAACTTCTCCCAGGATTTAAGACGTTCGCTATCTTACCTTTTAGAGCTTGAGACAGACCAAGATGTCCACATGGAAGGACATCTGAGGCCAGCCACACTTTAGAGTTGGAGAGCCACAGCTAACTGAATGATACCCTTAGACCTGAAGCCCAAAAGAGACATGGCTGTGCTGCTTTCTGGGGCTAAAACAACCGGTCTGGGTGTCAGAGATGTTAGAACCCTGGGTACCGATCATTAAGCAGGCATGACAAGTTAGTACAGAGAAAGTAACACCTGGAGGCTTCAGTATCAGACAGGTCAGAGTAGGAGACCTACCTGAGCTGGAATCACATAATCAGCCACATCCCAGATCCGGAACCCAAGTGTAGAAGTATTGGTCACAGCCACGCCTTTGGCCTTGGTAGTCACTGAGCTGACCACGGAGTCCATTTCCTGGTAACCCTTTTCCCACACGAACACCCACCTATAAAATAACACAGGCCTCTTAAGTGGCCATTAGGATCCAGAGAATCTGAATGGATGCCAGGGAGCCTCTGACAGCCAGAGGCTGAAAGTACCACCATGTTTACTAATTACAACTTTGCAAAAGCTGCTTAACCTCTGGAGGCTCCACCTCCATTTGTGCAAGAGGGGAAGAGTGGCCCCTTTATTTATTTTGTGAGAAATAAATGAGATGGTGTAGGTAAAGCACCAGTATCACAGAGGAAAAGCTCAATGAATACTGTCTTTATTGGATATTTGAGCATTTTCAATACACTGGGGCCTATGGGAATGACCAAGAGATGACACATTGTGATAGGAATAGTTTCCACTTGAGTGATTTTAGGATCAGGCACAGCTTTAAACTCTTTATATGTATGAACTCATTTAATCCTGACCACTTCATGAGGCAAGTATCATTATTATCATCTCCAATTTACAGAGAAGGGAATGGAGACACACAGGTGGCCATCCTGCCCTGAGCATCCATGTGTCAAACGAGAATTGAATGGGAGCTTTACTGCAGATAAATTTCTAGAAGTCCTGAAGAAGAGGACTCCTCAGGGGAAAAGCCCATCTCTAGGATGGGCAGTCCATCTGGAGACTGCTCTGATCAAACGAACCCACAAGTAACCCAAACTAGTGAATTCTGAAATCTTAGCATCTAGTACTTCTAAGGAAGGGAAGTGGATCCTAGCACTTCTCGATTCTAGAAATAATAGTAATAATAGTCTGTGGCATATGTTTAGTAGCTCTGGTGGGGAGGAGCTTTGGTTGCTATAACGTTCCAGTGGTGGGTTGAAACAAACATTATTCTATGCATGTGACATACACTAAATCATATAATTCTATAACAGTGGTGAAGCTCTATGACCATTTCCATATGATAGATGGGAAGAACTGAGGCCCAGAGTGGTTTACAGCCACTTGGCCAAAGTTATGCCTAGTGAGCGGTTAGAGCCAAGCTGAGCTGTGAACTGAGACTCTATTTCCAAAGTGTGTTTTGGTGTCCTAACCGCAACCCACAAATGCTTTCGCATTTTTAATCACTCAAAATAACAGTAACCTTCTCACTTCAGAAAACAGAATCATACATGTGACCTGAATTCTTGGGAGAAAGAAACAAACTACTATAAAAAGTGCCTTGAGGGGCTGGGGCTGGGGCTTAGTGGTGGAGCACCTGCCTCACACGTGTGAGGCACTGGGTTCCATCCTCAGCACCACATAAAAATAAACAAATAAAATAAAGTTATTGTGGGAAAAAAAAGTACCTTGAAAGGTCAAGGTGGGATTCTCTTTGAGGGAGCACCATGGGTAAGAGAAGAGGCTTAAGGGCTTCTGATTCAAGTTCAAATCCTGACTCTGCCACTCATTAGCTGGGTGACACTGGGTTATTTATGGGTTTATTTGATCTGAGGAATCTCCAAGTTCACTGCCCATCCTAGAGATGGGCTTTTCCCTTGACAAGTCCTCCTCTTTGGGGCTTTTAGAAATTCAGCTGCTGGAAAGCTCCCATTCAATAGGAAGGTCATCATTATTTTACTACCAAGTACAGGGAGTTGCGAAATCAGAGACAGATTGTTTCGTACCAGTCATTATCATGTGATTATTTCCTCATCATGTGACTGATAACTGAATTAGATGACTGGGGACTGTGGGTTCAGTCTCTATGAGGAATAGTTGTTTGGGAGAAGAGACCACAGTTTCACCAAGATTAACTAGAAAAGGAAGTTTAAAAAGTTTTAAAAGGGGAAAAAAAAAAGCCCTTTCCTCAGAACAGAGTTGGCTCTGATTATAGCAAGATGTCTAAAAGCAAGGCACTGCTGCTTAAAAACTCTCATAATCAAGGCAGACAACACTCTCTAAGAACCCCACAGAACTGCACTACACTTGATCTTAGCCAAAAGGACAAGAAGCAATTAGAATTGCACTAGAAACATGAGGTGAATCCCATGTGTGATTTAAAAATTTCTAGAGGCCACATTAAAAAATAAAAAGATACAAAAAAAAATAATTCTTAGGTAGCCCAATATGTCTAAAATATTTTAACAGTCATCAATTTCAAAAAGTATCAATGTAATATTTTACTTTTTCTTGTACTCTTCAAAATCCAGTGTATATTTTTACAATTCCAGTGCATCTCAATTTGGAGTAGAAATGGATAAGTGTTCAATAGCCATCTGTGACTAGTGGCTTCTTTAAGGTATAAGAATTTTACAAGTACCCAAAGGTAGAAGTGAACCGATCTTCTCATGAGAACAAAAGTTAAGACCTAAAAGCTGCCTAGAACTTCTGATCCCAAATTCTGCAGGAGTGCATCACAACCATTGTGGGGGAGATGCACCACAACCATTGTGGGAGATCTGGAACTATTTCATCCCTAAGACTTAATGAGTCCAAACCCAGGTATAGCCCAGGAGGTTCTTATGTTGAGTCTCTACCTGGATTTTTTAACTTTTTGGGTGCTGGGGATGGAACCCAGGGCCTCATGCATGTTAAGCATGCACTTCACCACTGAACTGTACCCCAGCAAGACATACTCTTGAACACTCAGTACCAGCTGCTGCAGGGCTGATTGACGCTGGAAGCCCAAACTACCAGACTATGTGAATACCCCTGGGCAGGGTAAACAGATTCCAAACTTCACCCCAAGGTGGAGGAATCTGTTATTTTTCAAAAATTCCTCAGATGATCTTTCCTAATCAGGTAAATGTGCAAAACACCAGGTCACCCATTCGCCAACTTTGCTGAACACAAGAATCAGCTGGGGAGTTGGCCATACTCTATAGCCGAATCCGAAGGTCTGGGATGAGAGCCATCAATCAATTTTTTCTATAGATTCCCAAATGGTTCCAATGAGCAGTTTGGGGGACCACTACTCTAGGCCTTTTAGGAAAGTGACATAGCAGATGTATCTGTCAACCCAGCATCTGTAGACACCATAATGCTCCACCTTGAAAGAGAGCCCAGCTGGCAAGGTAATTGCTACCTCCTCCCCTGGGTTGAATTACACTATATCAGGTGCATTCAATTAAATCATACATTTAGGGAGGCCGCAGGGTATATATAAACACAAGCGGCTCCCGGGGTAATGACTATGCTAAAGCAGGTATCCACACCCTCCGCCCCAAACAATGCTGTAAAACAGTCAGTGCCCTTTAAACACTTTTGGGAAGTGCGACCTCTCCACTATCTTGGGTTACCGCATAGTGATCAAAGGAAAGGAGAGGAAGCCACAGACTCAGAAGGAACCAAATGGAAATCCCAAGTCTTGGTTTTGTCAGCGGGTCATCAAAACGGCAAGTGAAGAAAGGAAACTGAGACGTTTAGGGCAAAGTTCCCACAGCCCAGGGCCATCAAGGAGCAAGTTGGAAGGTAAACGTGCAAGATGACGGTCTAGCCAGGCTTTCCCTTCAGCACCCTGAATCAAAGCAGCTTCCCGTCGCCGAGGCCCGGACAGAGCTCGTCTAGGTGGCCGGAGCCCGGGTGTGTGCACCGCGCGGGCCGAAGGGGGCGGGTGCCCGCGCGGCTCACCGTGCCGAGCCGCTGCCGGCCGTCGGGGACCCCCCGCCCCGGCCCCTCCGGCCCACCGCGCGCTCACCCGATGACGTAGGCCAGGATGAGCAGCTGCACGCCGCGGTTCATGAGCCCCACTTTACGGCTGCGGATAAGCACGATGCGCGGCGTGTCGTACTCGAACAGGAAGGCCGCCAGCACCGCGCAGCAGCCCGCCATGGCCCCGGCTGCCGCCGCGCGCGCCGCCTCCTGGTCCCCGCGCCGGAGCCCCGCCCAGGAGGCCCTGCCGCTGCTGCCCCGCCGTCCGTCGCGGGGGAGGGCCCGGAAGGAGGCGGCGCCGGCCCGGGGAGGCCCCGGGATGGGGGAAAGGGTTACCTCCCTCTCAGGGACCAGTGACCGCAGGCGGGGGTGCAGGGGCGCGGCGACAGCCTCCAGCGTGGCGGGCGTGGGTAGTGACCCATGGGAAGGGCTCGATGGAATGAGAGTCCCCCTGGTGGACGGGGCCAGCGAGAAGAGGGTCCTCTTTCTGGAAGGAGCCACCCCACGAGAGGGCTGAGGTCAGGTAGGGGCTGTTGGTCATATATGCCCTATCTAACATGGCGCCCAGGCAGCTTCTCTTCCTGTGTTTCCGTTTCTCGGCGCCAATTTTCAATCCCGCCGGCGGAAAACCCAGCCCAGTAAGAACTAATTTCGTAGGCTTTGGAACTGACATCTGGAAGAACTTACCAATAAACAAGCGCCCGTTTACCTAAGTCCTGCCTCCTATCCTTAGAGCTATATAAGCACTTAGCCTTTTGAAATAAAGTGGAACTTCTCCGGTGACTTGTCTCCCGAAACCTGGGAGAAGGGTGAGCTCATTTTAACAGAGCCCCATTTCCGGCTCCACGGGACATCTTGATCTCGTCCACCTTTTCAGGCGCTGGCTCTTTACACCCACCACTGATCGGGCTTGGGTAAGTTCCCCTCCTGGCTTGTCACCCTCCATGGGCTACAGCAAGAACAGGGACCATGATCGTCTGGCACACTCCTGACGCCAGATAGAGGGGAGAGAACCCACCCCACTAAGGCCTTTACAGCCACAGTGGACTCTCTGACAACCCGTTTTCTTTTGGGGTATGAGGCTTCTGGGTTCAGGCGAGAGACCTCTCTGTTTCTTCCTTCTCCTCCTTCTGTAACCAGTAAATCCTAGTACTAGGTTCTTCCTGGCCTCTGGCTTTTGCCCCCCCCCCCCCCAGAGTTGCAGTTTGGGTGGCGACCCTCACTGCCTCTCATTTCCCGACTGTTCCTAGAGTCTCCACGATCCCCAAGGTCTTAGAAGGGGATGCCCTTTTAGCCCTTGCTGATCGTTTTTCTGGCCCGAAGTCTCTCTCTTTCCCTATCTCTGTCTCTGTCTCTTTCTTTCTCTCTGTCTCTCTCTCTTTCTGTGAACATGAGCGCCTCCTCGTCCATACCTGAAACCTCACCCCTCAAATGTCTAATAAAAAATCTAGCCACACTCTCTCTCACACCAGACATCAAGCCCAAACTCCTGATCAAATTCTGTACCCAAGATTGGCCTACATATCCTCTGGATAATGGCAATCATTGGCCTCTAGAAGGCTCATCAGATCCAAATCTTCTCTGGAACCGGTTTAACTACTGCCAGCATCTGAAAAAATGGAAGGCGATTCCCTACGTTGAAGGTTTTAGCCTTCTGGCTTAGCACCCTGCTCTCTGCCTTTCCTGCTCTCCCTCTCAAGTTCTCCTTGCTCGCAAACCCCTCCCTTCCCCTACTTTCACTCCTGACCTAGTGGACTCTTCCTCATTTGACCCGGCAGACAAAACCCACCTTATCCCTCAGCCCCACCTGCTCCTCCTCTCCCGCCATCCCCTCCTCCTCCTTCGTCTGATCCCATGGATCCTCAGCCTTCCGTTTCGTCCCCTTCCCCTTCCTCTTCTTCCTGTCCATCGCTGACCGACTCTTTCAGCCCTCCTGTTACCAGGTCCAAGGGACCCCTTCCCACCCCCATGACGATCGCATCCCTTCGTGAGGTTGCTGGCCCCGAGGGTGTTATCCGAGTACATGTGCCCTTCTCCATGTCGGACCTTATGCAGCTAGAAAGGAAGCTAGGCTCATTCACCACTGACCCCACCACTTACATTCAGGAATTTCAATGGGTTCTGCAAGCATATAGCCTCACTCATCACGACATTTACATGCTCCTGGCCTATACACTTCTCCCTGAGGAAAGGCGACGGGTCTAGGAATTAGCCCAGGCCGATGAAAATCATAAAACCAATCCCAACCACCCTTTGGGCCCACACGCTGTCCCGGAGCAGCATCCTCTATAGGATTACAACACCCCTGGAGGTTTGCATTCTCGTGACCTTTTTGCATCCTGCCTCTTGGCAGGCCTGAAGAAGGCCACCTGCAAGGCCGTTAATTTTCAAAAGGTGCAGAAGGTCATTCAGAAGGACAAACACCTTCAGAATTCCTGGATAGACTAACTAAGGCCCTCCAACAGTACACAAACCTTGACCTAGAAACCCCTGACGGTCGCCATGTCTTAATGACATATTTTCTGGCCCAAAGCTACCCTGACATTAAAGCCAAGCTTAAGAAGCTTGAACAGGGCCCTGCTACCCTTCAGACCAAAATCCTTGTGGTCGCTCTCAAGCTTTTCCATGGTAGGGAAGACAAAAGTGAATGCCGCAGGCAGAAGGCTGAAAACACCAAATTCCAAATGTTGGCCCAGGTCATTCAGGGAAGGCTATCACCACACCGTCCTAATAAGACGCCCCCTGGAGCTTGCTTCAAATGTGGTAAGGAGGGACATTGGGCCAAGGTTTGTCCTTCGCCGAGGACACCCTCCACCACCTGCCCAAAATGCCACCAAAGGGGACATTGGGAGTCAGACTGTCCAACAACCCGGAGGGGAGGCTGGTCAGCCGCCCTGTAACCCCAGCCTCTCCTAGGCTTGGCAGAGGAGGATTGACAGAGCCCTGGGCCTTCCCTCTCGACTATAACCATCAAGAAGCAAGAGCCCAGGGTCACCTTCCTGGTGGATGGACGCTCCATTACCTTCCTCTTGGATACTGGTGCCACTTTTTCGGTCTTGAGGGAGTATTGGGGCCCTACCATGCCTTCGAAAACTCCTATTGTCGGGGTAGGAGGTAAACAGATTTTCCCTTGAAAAACTCCCCCCTTATCATGCTATATGCAGGGATCCCTTTTGTCCTTAACACACTTCTTTCTCGTTATGACCCATTGCCCCATTCCCCTTCTGGGAAGGGACATACTCTCACTATTGAAGGTCACCATTCACATATCACCCCACACCTCCCCTGCCTCTCATTTCCTCATGATGATCCTAGGGACAGATACACCTCCATCATGCACTCTCCCACGACTGTCTAAACCAGTTAACCCCGAGGTTTGGGACACAGCTACGCCCTCTGTGGCCAAATGCAGTCCTTTTCATATTGTTTTATGGGACCCTTCAAGATACATTAATCTACCACAATATCCACTTACAACCACAGCCCTCCTCGGGTTAGAACCCATCATCCAGGACTTATTATGGAAGGGGTATCTCAGGCCTATGCACTCTCCTTTCAACACCCCCATTCTGGCAGTTAAGAAACCCAACGGGTCCTATGGATTGGTTCAAGACCTTTGCCTCGTCAACTCCTCTGTGGTCCCCATTCATCTGCTAGTTTCCAACCCCTACACCCTTCTCTCAGATCCCTGCTACTACTACCCACTTCTCAGTCCTAGATTTAAAGGATGCCTTGTTTTCTATTCCCTTGTCTTCAGAGTCTCAAAATATCTTTGCTTTTACATGGACTGATCCTCACACCCGCCATTCTCGTGAGCTTACCTGGACCGTCCTTCCGCAGGGATTCAGGGATAGTCCCCATCTCTTTGGCCAGGTTCTTGCCCAGGACCTCACATCCTTCCACCCCACCTGTCCTGATTCTACCCTCCTTCAATATGTCGATGATCTTCTTCTATGTAGTTCCTCTTGGGAACAGTCTCAAACCCACACCACCCAGCTTCTCAATTTCCTGGCAGATAAGGGGTATAGGGTGTCTACCCACAAGGCCCAGGTTTCCCAGTCTGCTGTCACCCTACCTTGGCTTTCGCCTTGCACTGGGAAAAAGGGAAATAACACTAGATAGGAGGTAACTCCTCTCTAATCTTCCAGTGCCTCATACAAAAGCCGAAATACTGTCATTCCTAGAACTAGCAGGATATTTTAGGGCCTGGATCCCAAATTATGCTCTTCTAGCCAAACCCTTGTATGACCTAGTAAAGGGACCCCCTGGTGAACCTCTCGCCTCCTCCCCCTGCTACCACTTCCTCAGACTTCAGCAACTCCTCTTAAAGGCACCTGCCCTTCACCTTCCCGATCTTTCAAGACCATTTCATATATATGTCCATGAAAAAGGGGGACAAGCACTTGGGGTCTTGGGTCAAACCTATGGGCCTACATTCGCACCTGTGGCATATCTGTCCAAGCAATTAGATCCTACCATCCGTGGTGGGCCCCTTGCTTAAGAACTCTGGCTGCTGGACAAATCTTACACAAAGAAGCCTCTAAGCTGACTTTTGGGGCCCCTTTAACTATCCATTCCCCACACCATTTGAAGGATCTTTTAGCTTATAAGGGCCTTCAAACCCTTCCGCCATCCAGAGTTCTGTCACTCCTCACTTCCTTTCTGGAAAACCCCAATATTACATTCCTCTCTTGCCCTACACTGAACCCTGCCTCCCTGCTCCCAACGACCTCCACACCTGACGCTCCAGTTCACAATTGCTTAGAAACCTTGGATGATTTCCTCCCCTGTCATTATTCCATTTCTGAGGGACCACTCACCAATCCCGACCTTATCTGGTTCACTGATGGCAGTTCCTTTAGGCAAAATGGCACTCATTACTCTGGATACGCCATTGTTTCGGCCACTGAGATTATAGAAGCCAAAGCTCTGCCTTCAGGAACCACCAACCAACAGGCCGAACTTGTAGCAGCCACTCGTGCCTGCCTTATAGTGCAGGGCAAATCCCTCACCCTTTATACTGACTCAAAATACGTCTTCCATATTCTATTATCCCATTCTGCAATCTGGAAGGAGCAAGGTCTACTTACCACCAAAGGTAATATGATCACTAATTCGGCTCTCATAACTAATTTGATAGAGGCCTCCCATCTCTGCAACAACCAATGTCTCCGGCACCTGTTTCTTGGTTACTGTAGTTCCTCAGCTGTCTTTGAATTCCGACAATTGGTCCCACCTTCCCGCACCAGTAGGGCAGTCTTTCTGCCGGTTCTGGTAGGCCTCACATTAACAACCTCAGTGGCGAGTCTCAGACTCTCTGGTGGAGCTATAGGTCATGCTCTGTGGGCATCCAATGACCTTCAACAAAAACTGCAAGAAGCGCTCAATACCACTGCTGAGTCTCTGGGCTCCTTGCAGCAGCAGGTTACCTCATTAGCACAAGTGGCTTTACAGAACCGGTGGGCGATTGATCTCCTCACTGCACAAAAAGGGGGTACTTGCCTGTTCCTCAGAGAGGAATGTTGCTACTATATCAATGAGTCTGGGCTAATAGAAAAGAATATTGTTAAATTGCAGGAATTATCGACCTAATTGCTCAAAACCACCTCCCCTAATCCCATAGCAGGGTTCTTCCAATCTTCTCCATGTACTTGCTACCTTTCTTGGGGCCCCTTATTGGGATACTCCTCTTTTGCTCTCTCTTGCCCTGCATAACGAAGTTCCTTCAAACCCAATTACAGAAAATTTCTAATCAAACTTTCAATCAGCTTCTGCTTAGGAACTACCAGCCTCTGATGACCGATGAACCCCGAATATCTTCAAGAGAACAGCTCACTCAGTGCTGAAGCTTACTACCAGGCACAATGAAAAACGACGGACATCGGACAGCGGGAGACAAAAATCCAGGATGGCAGAGGATCTCTTAACCTGTCAACCGGGATTTTTGAGCCTTCATGTCCTTCTAAGCCTCCTCATGGCCCTTGGCCTCTTCTCTGTCAGTCCCCCAGCATGGAACTCCCACCGAAAACTGACCTTTGTTTTAATTCTTATCTTCATCTTGTTCTTGTTTGCTCTGATCTTCTTCAGGTGCTGGTGACGCCCCTTATGACAGGGACACTAGGAAATATTGGAAGCGCTATTTTGACATGACATTGGCGCTCCCGATGCTTCCTGGAGCCCTTGTTACGAGACCTAATGGCTGGTGACCAACCCCAACAACCTCCTCCATCCAGGGATAACGCCCCACGCCACCCCTACTCAGCAGGAAGTAGCCAGAGTCGAATGACGTCCCTGTTCCAAAAACAACACAAAAGAGGGGGAAATGTTGGTCATATATGCTCTATCTAACATGGCACCCAGGTAGCTTCTCTTCCTGTGTCTTCGTTTCCACCAGCGCCAATTTTCAATTCCACTGGCAGAAAACCCAGCCCAATAAGAACTAATTTCGTAGGCTCCAGAACTGATATCTGGAAGAACTTACCAATAAACAAGCACCCTGTCGTTTACCTAAGTCCTGCCTCCTATCCTTAGATCTATATAAGCACATAGCCTTTTGAAATAAAGTGGAACTTCTCCCGTGATTTGTCTCGCATCGGTTCTTCTTTCAGGGGCAACGGTCGATCCCTTAGTGACCTAGGTAAGAGTGACATCCATAGAGGACCCGGGGCGTAGAGAACAGCCCCTACCAGGAGGCTGTTATAGGGGACCTGGGGCAGAGCTGCTTTCTAAGCCTCTGGGGGAAAAGACTAAGTATTGGGTGTCCTCAGAGCCCCAGGCTGGAGCCTCATGCCCAGTAAAATACTCCTGCTGGAATTGAAGCCAGACCAACATCCCTGCTCCAAGTCACATGCTTCCTTATTTGCAGGTCAGAGGAAAAAGTGTCAGGGCCAGGAGAGGTGTTTCTGTGGCCATCCTTGGATGGAGAACAGTTTTAGGGAGAATTGGAGAATAGAGGGCAAGTGGGGAAGCACCATAGTTCTGCCTTGGGACTACAGTTTTCCACGTGAATGTTTGTCTGTTCCCTTTGTAACCACTGGAAAGCTGGGTCCTGGTTCCCAGTGTCAATTGAATAATGAGGATATAGTTTTGAGAAAAAGGAAAAAAGATTTATTGCTTTGCTAGCAAAGGAGAAACACAGGGATCTCCTGTCCCTGAGGCTGTGCTTCTGCCTATCAGGGAGAACTGGGCTTTAAAAGAAGCTATTCAAAGACCACACAAAATAGGGCTGAGGATGTGGCTCAGTGTTCAAGTGCCCCTGAGTTCAATCCTTGTCCTCACCCCCTCCCCCCCAAAAAGGCTACATTCCAGGGGTGTCCTGACAGGGGATCCCAGGTGCAACCTGAAGGTGTGTTGAAATTCACTTCTTAGATCCTCTGGTAGATATCTCCTTCCTGTGGTGAGTGTGTTCAAGGACAATTAACTAGGGGAAGAAAAGATAACTGTCTCCCTCATGTTAGGGAGGGGAAGAGGGGAGAAGAGAGAAAAGCACATGTCCCTTTAAAAATAAGACTCAGAGCAAGGAGGGCTATGTACAAAAGATAAAGTAGACCACTGTTACACCTTCAGCTTTGTTTTCAGAAATGTTTAACATTGGCTTCACTAATGCTTTCAACAAATATTAATAAGTATCTTCCAGGTGCCAGGTACTGACCAGGAACAGAACAAGCAAAACATCCTGTCTTCATGCAGTGCAAATTCTAGCAGGTAATTTCTTAGTTTGTAATCAAAGTCCTTTTCATTTTCCAATTCATACTTCCCAATTTCCATGTCACTGTAGACTTATAATGATCATTTTAAATCAATGCACTATTTCTTCCAAACAGTGTGCCATGCTTCCCCTAAATGTTCCCATTTGTTTACTTCCTGGGTCTCTCCCAGTGCTGGAGATTGAATCTGACATCTGGTGCATGCTAGGCAGATGCTCCATCCCAAGTCCAATTGCTTTTTAGTTTGTAGATTCTGTACAAAATCTTTGACAGAAATTTTTGTTCACTATTTGGATGTCAGATTCCTAAGCCATACCACCATGTTTTCCAAATATAAAAAGGTGCATTAATAAGAAAATTTTCAAAAGATAGCATCTGCCCCTGTACATAGAATTGTTAAATTAGAAGGAGGAACAAAGATGCCACCTGTCTCAATCCAAAATGGTCCCAGGAAAGATGGTGATAGATTTAAGTGCATGTGTGTGCTTGCAGCATTCTTGATGCTAGGGATATGGAGGTGCTAGATGGCTGAAGTCTCTGCCAAAATGGCTGGTGCTATGTAGAAAAGGATTAGTCCATTTTCTAAGTCCTCATTGAGAGATGATTTAAAAATGGTTTTCCTTAAGAATCAGAACACATGTCCAGCCCTCATTAATATTTATCCCATAGTAATGAGTTAACCCCAGCCTTATAAATCCTGAATTCAAGTGGTTTGTTTATATTTTGGAGCAAGATCAATTAAAAGAAATATAAAAGTTTTCAAGAATCACTAGTTGGTTACATCACGAATCCCAAGAGGCTGATCCTGAAAAATGATTAGGGAAATAAAATATTGAATTTACACTCTTGCTATATCCCCAGTCCTTTTTTATTTTTTATTTTGAGATAGGGTCTAAGTTGATTAGGGCCTCGTTAAGTTGCTGAGGCTGACCTTGTACTTGTGATCCTCTTGCCTCCCCAGCTGCTGGAATTATAGGTATGCACCATCAATTTTGGCTTACCTTTTTTTAAAAAAAAAAATCACTTTAGGGCCTGAGAGTATAGCTCATTGATTAGCATGCACAGGGCCCTGTTTCAATCCCCAGTGCTGGAAAAGCCACCACCAAAACCAAACTTCATTAGTGAGGTATTATTGATGAACAATAAACTGCACACATTTAAAGTATACATTTTGGCAAGTTTGGCATAACCCAATCAGCATATCCATTATACTAGCCAGTATATTCTTGGTATGTATATAAAATACAAGGAAATGATTACGTGGCTTTTCAAATACACATATCCTAATCTCATTTAGTTGCTTTTTTGTTGCTTGCTCTATTGAGTGCAGTCAGTTGTTGAACAACTTTGGGAATTTAGTTCTAATAGAAATTGTCTTTAAATAAAGGTGCAAAAAAAAATAAAAAATAAAGGTGCAAGACAGTTCAATGAGGAAAGAATAGACTTCAACAAGTGGCTTTGGGGGCTGGGGTTGTGGCTCAGTGGTAGAGTGATCACCTAGCATGTGCGAGGCCCTTGGTTCAATCCTCAGCACCACATAAAAATAAATAAGTAAAATAAAGGTACTGTGTCCAACTACAACTAAAAAAGAAATATAAAAAAAAGTGTCATTGGACCACTGAATATTCATATGCAAAATAATGAAGTTGGACTCCTACTTACTGCCACATAAAAAATTTAACTCAAAACAGATTAAAGACCTAAATATCAGAGTTCAAATTATTAAACTCTTCAGTGAAGATCTGCACAAGATGCAGATCTTTGTGACCTTAGATTACAAAGATCTGTTTTTTAAGATAGGATGCCTAAAGCACAAGTAACTAAAGGAAAAAAATTGTACTATTTTGTTAAAGTTAAATAAAATTTTTGTTCTTCATTGAAACTGTCAAGACAGTAAAAAGACAACCCAGAGAATGGGAAAAAATATTTATAAATCTGTCTCATAAATGTCTAATATCTTAAATCCCTAAGAATTCTTACAACTCACCAATGAAATGACTACCCAGTTTAAAAAAAGGGCAGAAGTTAATTCAATAAATGTTCTCCAAAGAAAATATATAAATGGTCAATAGGACCTGAAAAGATGCTTGATCTCATTAGTCATTAGGGAAGTGAAAATCAAAATCACCCGCAAGCTATCATTTCATCCCCACTAACATGGCTCTAATAAATAAACAGGTGGACAATAAAAAAAGATGGCAAGAGTGTAGAGAAACTGGAACTCTTACATATCCCTGGAGAATACACAGTGGTGCAGCTGCTTTGGAAGTCAATTTGATAATTTTCAAAAATGTTAAACATTACCATAGCAGCCAACAATTCCACTTCTAAGTTTGTACCTCAGAGACTTAAAGATACGTTCATATAAAGACTTGAATGTTCACAGTTACATTCTTAATAACCCCAAAGGGGAAATGGCCTAAATGTCTGTTAATGAGTAAATGGCTAAAATGTGGCTTGTCCATGCATTGGAGCACTATTCAGCCACAAAAATGAATAAGTCCAGATCCATGCCACACCATGAATGGGCCTGAAAACATGCTGAAAGAAGCCAGATAAAAGATCACACGATGTAAGATTCTATTCATAGGAAATATCCAGGACAGGCCAATCTATAGAAACTGAAAGTAGATTATTGGTGCCAGAGGCCAGGAGAAAGGAAGGATGGGAGATGACTGCTAATGAGTGGGAGGTTTCCTTTTGGAGTGATGAAAAATGTTCTGGAAATGAAACAGCAGTGATAGTTGCTGAACTGTGAAAAGACTAAAAGTCCCTGAGCTGTACATCTTAAAAGAGCAAATGTTTTAGCATGTGATTGACACCTCCCTAGTAACAGTAAACAGGGAGAAGAAAGTTGGTAATAAAACTTTGGTAACAAAACAATGAACATTATTCCTCCTGGCCATAGCTGATTAGACCAGGTGGCAACCAGTCTGTGGTTTAAACCCAGCCAGTCTGATTCTCTCTGGCTGTGGCATTGTGATTAAAGCAGCTCTTTGTTCTCTGCAGGTGACTGGAACAGTAACCATCCTGCTCATGAGGAAGCCAGAAGAGTCTACAGAAGAGAAAATGGAAGAGATGGACAAAGAGCTACAGAGGTGAGTGAGGTTAAGAAAAGAGCCTCTGGGGATTCTGCCGAGTTTTACAGTTCCTGTTTGCACTCCTGGCTCACCTTTGCCCTGGAGATAACTCCTTAATAATAACATAGACTTACTTATTATTTACTTACACTGGTACCTTTTGAAACTTGGAATTAAAAAGACCACATCTGTGGTGCTCGGATCTAACAGATGAAAAATGTCACCAGAAGGTTTTATATAATTATAATGCACCAATAAAAAATATGGGAAAAAAATGTCACCAGTAGTGTAGTCATTAAAACAAATGTTTATATGAATGCAGGAAGTCAGAATGAAATGAGAGGCATTTCCAGAGGCCACTAAGAGCAGCAATAAATAAACAAATGGCCCATAAAAAGAATGAAGTCCCTATAAAAAGCAGAGCAGAGAACTGTAAAAAGCTTATCAGTCTAGGACCATTTAGACCATGAGAGGCCAGCAGAGACAGACCCAAGTGTTCATAAGGCTTCATTAGGTTGTAGAGCTTGGTAAGACTGATGTGTGTTACAATGGCTTTTAGCCATAAAAGCCCAGTGAGATCATGTTCTTTGTTCCTGAATGTCTTCACCAAAAATTGTTTACATGTTTAGGCATTTAAAAAGGTAAGATTCATTTATATGGCATACAGATATTGTGAAATTTATCAGTTTATAACATAATGACAGATGCATGTGCAAATATATGTGTACTTGTACATCCAGAAATAGAACATCTCAATAAAGAATAAGGAGATAGTAAAAGTGAGAAATATTTAAAAATTTTAATGTATATATGAATTCAAATGCACTAATTAAAATGATAATAATAGAAGGTAGATTAGTAGAGAAGAATAGGGAGGGTGGAGGGGAGGGAAAGAGAAGGTGCTGGGGAAGGACACTGATCACACTACATGCATTTACAGATATAGCATCGTGCATTCTATTATGTATCATTACAATGCATCAATAAATTTATTTTCTGTTTTTCTCCATGAGTCCTTGACTGAATATTTTGTGAAACATAGAAACGAAACTCTGACTCTAAAAGGTCACATGCTGATCAGATAATCATCTTTGTGCTTCCTGTAGATCAGTGGATCTCAGTCTTGTCAAACCCAATATCTCTTTTTATTTGTTCTAATTAGTTATACATGACAATAAAATACATTTTGACACATCATACAAAAATGGAGTATTCTACATCACGATGGTCATGTAACCATACATGCACATAGGGTGATAATGTCTGATTCATTCTACTATCTTTCCTATCCCCATACCCACTCCCCTCCCTTCATCCCCCTCTGTTTAATCGAAAGTTCCTATATTCTTCTGTAGCATATTCCGCCCCGCTTATTGTGAATTAGCATCCAGATATCGGAGAAAACATTTGGCCTTTGGTTTTGGGGATTGGCTTATTTCACTTAGCATGAAATTCTCCAGCTTCATCCATTTGCCAGCAAATGCCATAATTTCATTCTTCTTTAAGGTTGAGTAATATTCCATGGTGTACATATACCACATTTTCTTTATCCATTCATCTATTGGAGGACACCTAGGTTGGTTCCATAGTTTAGTTATTGTGAATTGAGCTGCTATAAACATTGATGTGGCTGTGTCCCTCTAGTATGCTGATTTAAGTCCTTTGGGTATAAACTGAGGAGTGGAATAGCTGGGTCAAATGGTGGTTCCATTCCAGATTTTCTGAGGAATCTCCATACCACTTTCCTTAATGGTTGCATCAGTTTTCAGTCCCACCAGCGATGTATGAGTATACCTTTTCCCCCACATCCTTGCCAACATTTACTGTTGCTTGTATTCTTTTTTTTTTTTTTAAGAGAGAAAGAGTTTTAACATTTATTTTTTAGTTTTCAGCAGACACAACATCTTTGTTTGTATGTGGTGCTGAGGATCGAACCCGGGCCGCACGCATGCCAGGCGAGCCACATCCCCAGCCCTGTTGCTTGTATTCTTGATAATTGCCATTCTGACTGGGATGAGATGAAATCTCAGTGTAGTTTTTATTTGCATTTCTCTAATTGCTACAGATGTTGAACATTTTTTTCATATATTTGTTGATTAATTGAATTCTTCTGCAAAGTCAGTTAGACCCAATCTCTCTCTTTCTCTCTCTCTCTCTTTTTTTTTTTTTTTCATACCGGGTATTGAACTCAGGGGCACTTAACCACTGACCACATCCTCAGCCCTTTTTTGTATATTATTTAGAGACAGGATCTCACTGAGTTGCTTAATGCCTCACTAATTGCTGAGGCTGGCTTTGAACTGGCGAACTTCTTGCTTCATCCTCCCTAGTTGCTGGGATTACAGGTGTGTGCCACCACACCCAGCAGACCCAATATCTCTTAAAAAGTAAAAATAAATTTTAAAAAATTTGTATGTGTGGGGCTGGGGATGTGGCTCAAGCAGTAACATGCTCGCCTGGCATGCGCGGGGCGCTGGCTTCGATCCTCAGCACCACATACAAATAAATAAAGATGTTGTGTCCACTGAAAACTAAATAATAAATATTTAAAAATTCTCTCTCTCTCTCTCTCTCTCTCTCTAAAAAATAAAAAATAAAAATTTGTATGTGTTACTGAGGATTGAATCCAGGGGCACTTTACCACTGAGCTACATTTCCCAGCCTTTTTCATTTTTTATTTTGAGACAAGGTTTCACTAAGTTGCCCAAGGTGGCCTTGTTGAACTTGAGATCCTCCTTCCTCAGCTTCTAGGGTCCTGGAATTATAGGACCTGGAATTATGTGCACCACTGTTCCCTGCAAAGGTAAATATTTTCTAACATCCTTTTAGTTGTCCTCAAATAAATTAATATGAAATATAATGTCCCTGTACTTAAAATATATGTGTGTATATGTGTAGATACATGTTTGGTTAGCATTTTCATAATGAGTAATGATGTTGAGCTTCCTTTCATGTGCTTATTGGCTCTTTGTCTATCTTGTTCAGATTTTTTGCCCATTTTTTTTTTCATCGGGTTGTCTTTTTATTTTAAGCTGTAAAAGTTCTTTATATACTCTACATACAAGTCCTTTATGAGATATAGGAGCTGCAAATGTTTCCTCCTACCGTGTGGGTGGGAGGGATTGTAGATTACTGAAATAGAAAAAATGGGAAGGATAATATTCTTGCAGATAAGCTGGACTTATTTTTATAACTGTGCCTTGAAATCCCAGCATATTCAACCTTCAGTCTCTAGGATGTAAGGAAACTTTGGAGACCACATCCTTTGATAGGCAAAGCAGAATAGAGAATGGATGGAGGAAGAGACTGAGTATGAGAGGCAATGGGGAGGTCATTAGCCCTATGGGGAGTGATTGGTGTTACTGAAAATGAGGAGTAACTGAAATTTAATAATTTTTGTGATTTGCACAACAGATTTCATCAAGCTACAAAAATGTTTTAAATGTAGGATTGCAATACTGTATAGTGAAATTACATGTGATTTTTACTCAGTTTGTTGAACATGTAGTTCCAAAGGCAAACTATTCAAAGTTATTTTTAATTTAAAAATATTTTATTTTGTTTAAAACTATTTAAAAGAGATGTTCAGAGAAGTCACATTGCCATTCCTGCCATTCTGTTGTCACCCTCCATCCAGTGGTTGCCATTTTTATTGTTTTCATCCTTTTGGGTTTTCTTTTTGCAAATACTTTGGTGTGTGTGTGTGTGTGTGTGTGTGTGTGTGTGTATGAGACAGAGAGAAGTGAACAAGTGAGAGAGATCAATCCCTGTTGTTACAGAAAATGTAGCATATTGTAGTATTCTACTTTTCTCTTTAAGCTTATTAACATTTAAGAAACACCCTTTTAAAAAATTTAGGAACATTTCTATATTTCATAGGTCTCCCATCCATTTTAAAGTATTGGGGTCTAAATTAGTTAAAAAGAATCCCAAGATGGGCATGGAGATGCACACCTGCAATCTCAGCTACCCAGGAGGCTGAGGCAGAAAGATTGCAAGTTCAAGGCCAGGCTCAACAATTTAGCAAGACCCCTCTTCAAAACAACAACAGCAGCAGCAAAAAAGGACTGGAAGTGTAGCTCAGGGGTAAAAATGCCCCTGATTTCAATGCTTAGTGCAAAAAATAAGAAAAAGAAAAAGAAAATCCTCAAAACTGTGTTACATATTTGCACTTAATAACTTCATGTGTAACATTTACAAATGTGTTTTTTGGTGACTTAAATATGATATTTCTTAATGACTTAAATGTGATATTGCTGCTGGTGATGTGATTTCCTGAAGTAAGGTAACAGTTCTTAGTTAAGTTTTCTGGGTTTTTAATTTTATTTTTGAAAAATTTAATTGAATTTTTTCTTATCAATTTTTGAACAAAACATAGTATAGCACTTCCCAGACATATATGATAGTTATAAATTCTTGTGGTAGTTACATTTGTGACTAAAATTAAATGGAATTAGGTTGTAGGTTTAAATAAATTGAAAAAGCTGTTTTGGGTTTTGTTTTATTTTAAACCAACATGAATGTCTGGTGGACATTCGAAAGTTGAACCAAGGGACTGGGGCTGGGGCTGAGTGGTACAGTGCTTGCCTAGCATGTGTGAGATGCTGGGTTCGATCCTCAGCACCACATAAAAATAAATAAATAAAATAAACGTTAAAAAAAAAAACTTAAAAAAAAAGAAAAAAGAAAGAAAGTTGAGCCGAATATAGGATAGCCCTTCTTTTTGCAGGATGTTCAATTCATGCGTGGAATATATCTCTGGTCCCTACCTAAGTGCTTGAACACCCTCTAACCATAGTGAGCACCATAAAATACCTGTACAAAATTTCAGAATTCCTCCTATAGGATTGTACTAACTAGTTCTCAAATGTGATGTGTATGAAAAAGAGAAAGAAAAACATCTAGAAGCTGTAAGTCAGGAAGACTGAGTTAATACACATATTTGTATGTCTGAAATTCTTCAATTTATCTTCTAATTGAAATTCTTCTTTTCAAAATAGCCTGTCTACCTTCATAAGATAGAAATAAGATGGAAATAGATACATACTTAACTTTTCAACAGGAATCTATAGTGCCAGCTTAAGAAAGAATTTTAATTCATATGAATTTAGACATTTTCCTCTTAAAAATGGGAAAAGAAAGATTTTTTAAATATAGTGTAGAAATGTTCACCTCATTCTTAATGACTTTTTGGAGTAACTAGGTTCAAGTTCTAGTCAATGGTAGAAAGACTGAGGCCATGATAGGTGACAGCCTGAAGAGGAAGAGGGACTAATGCCACTCAGGCTTGCCTTTTGTATGTGGTACAGCTTCAAGCAGGGGAAGTAAACACACAGGTAATCAGCCATCTGGTATGTCAGTGACCCAGAAGTTTCCTAGGCTATGGAGCTTCCAGTGCTAACCCTGAGAAAGTCCAGAGCAAATGGGATGAGCTGGCCAACTTAGAAGGATTAAGCTGACTGGCTTCAGGAAGGCACATGGCAGCAGGGGTCCAGAGCTGTGAACACCCACCCCTCATCCCCTCACTCATCCATACTTTCCTCAAGATGGTAGCTAAACCCAGATCAACTCAACTTGAACTGGATCTTTTAGGATAAAGGGCTGTTGCAAGAAGCAGGGGGGCTTTCCAAGAAATGTGGCCTCTACAGCTGCATTTCTTGTGATGTTGTAACTTATGGGAAGTTTAATCAAAACAAAACAACAGAAGGAGTCAGAGGCCTGTCTTTTATGTGACTTATAAAAAAGGGTTTTCTGGAATATAGACTGTTAATATGTTGATCTTTCTCATTCCTCCACAATTACTGAATTATTATTCAAATAAACAGTCTCCAGCAGATCTCAGTCCAAACCAATGGGAGATCCAGGTTTCTTTGGCTCTGAACAGCAATTTCTGTTTTGAAGACCACCTGTATGGGAGTAGTACAATGAATCCTATTATATAGTCAAGTCATAACTCAAACTCTTTAGGCTGGGGTGTAGTTCAGAGGTAGAGCATTTGCCTAGCA